TTAACCTCTTCTTCAGAGTATAATAGAGCAATATTAGTATTATTGTGAAGCAATGATGGCACAGAGTGCCGAATCTCCAATTCCTCTTCAGGTCAATGAAACAAGCTATTATATTGAGATTTTTTATTTCTTTGGTATCTATCAACTTCATGTTTTAAAAATTCCTCTATAATAGGGCTAATACTACTGGCTTCACTTTCTGATAATGGATTTTTTTTTCGAGTTGTAAGCCGATTCCATCCAGCTTTTATTAATGAAGGTGGGAGTTGGGTAAGAAGATTTGAATAATTTTCATGAAAAGTCATGTAATTTTATGAAATATATTTTCATGAAATATTATAATCTTTCAAAAAATATAATAAGCATCTATATTTTCATATAAAAATATAATCTTTCAAAAAAATATAAAAACTGCCCAACCATTTTGATAACAGTTACCGACTTTATATATTAATATTTTTTTATAAGAATATGATCTCAAGCGGCCAACAAATATTAAACATCCACATGTATAACAATAAATCATACCTATAGGATAACCAAATTTTAATTCAAGGTCATATACTATATTATACAAAGCACAGTATATAGTGCAGTAATCACATGATATTGTGACCTGTGAGGTCACGGACTATGTTACACAAGGCACAGTACTTATATATAATATATTATATCATGATTATAGTCAATGAAATTTGCCAGACCCAAGGTCAGCGAAATTTTTTTGCTAATTAGCTTTTGAATATATCTAATTTCTATATAAAATAATGTCAAACGCAATTGATTTACTGAAAGAATTAAATTTCAAGCTCTTAGCTGAGATTACTGAACTTAGAAAAGAGAATGCTGAAATTTCTGTACTTAGAAAGAAGTTTGCAGAGGTTGAAGCTGAGAATGCAGAACTAAAACAGGCTATAGAAGAAAATGCAGTGCTCAAGATCCGATTTGAATAACTAGAAAAGAAACATCAAACAGATACTACCAAACTTACTGCTGAGAATACTGAGCTGAAAGATAGAGTTACAAAATTGGAACAGATGCAGACTCTAGTCACTATTAATGACCAAAATGCATCTTCTACAAAAGATAAGAAATCTATTATTACTGATTCCACATCTGAACCAATACACAGCTCAACACAGCTACAGAAAAGTAAGTCTAAATATATATTTGAATCTCTAACAGAGTCTGTGTTATCTATAACGTCTTCACAACAAGATATTGTTGATGACGATCTGGCTAGTGTCCTTAAATTCATAGAAACAATATATAAAAAAAATGTTGCACCTACCATTTCTCATAAGCAAAAGAAAGAACAAGGCTTAATTCAGGAAATATCTGCAGGTGATAGCCAAGATGATGCATTCACATCCACCCAAGATTATGACTCTATATCTTCAGAATATGCAACTGAAATTTTGCTGACCTTAGGTCAGGAAAAATCGAACATCTTCCAAATATTGCCAACTTATATGAAAAAGCATGTGATGCGGAATATGAATCAATAAAAGCTAAAGTAAGGTCAATTTGGGAGTTCTGGGTTACTTTTTTTATACTGCTATATGACTATTGCTTTAAAAGTCCTTTAATCGTCATCCTGCTATATTTTATATCTATTTTATACTATTTAG